AGGTGGAGAGGGACACCAGGGACTGTGCACGTGGGCCATGCCACCCACATATCACGCAGCCCCCTGTGCACGTGTGAGCATGTGCCATGCCACCCTTGGGCAGGTGACTCCAGCTGCGTGACACCCAGGGGCCGTGGCCCAATAGGCACATACATATGTTAAGAGACCTAACACGCTCCCAACCCCGGGGTAGGACCCAGCAGGACGCTCTCCCTTCACATGCCACCTCTACACAGAGGCAGGGGACATCTCCTCCCCACCCCGGCCACACTACACATGGCAGAGGGGCATGGGTGTGGTCGTAGGGCAGCTCCCAGTCCCAGGAAGATCCAGACATCCTGACCATGGCCTCTGTGCAAGCACATCGGCTCTGATGGTGCAGGGCACGGTTGCCCTCACGTCGCAAGGGGGGGCTGGGCATCATCCACAGTGTCCCCAGGGAGAACTGACCACTTTTCTTCTTTCTCTACAGCTGTACTAGCTGTTCTTGCAGGGTGCATATGTCTACACTACCCCGCTAGTTCGAACTAGCGGGGTAGTGTAGACATACCCTCAGGTGCTACAGGACTATTGATTGTTTTTTAACTAACTCTCCAAATTCAGCAGAAGAAGCAACTGTCACTGCCTTACTGTGGAACACCTGCACTTCAGCCACAGGCAGATGTCTCCCACAACAGGTTGGTCCTTCTGATTACATTTGGTAAATTAGCACTCAAGTTTTGGCACACAGTTTTAAGATTTGTAGGCAGAATGATCTGACTGGGAAGTTGCCATAGCTCAGGTATCTGACAGTGTCTTGGGGGAATTTTTCTTTGTAAAACATCATACTGCTAACATTTGATGTTAGAGTAGAATCTCAGCCACTCAAATTAAAAAATAAATCAGTTTCTCAGGTGAGGATATTTAGAATCCCAAACACTGATGGAGGAGGAGACCCAATAGACACTATTGCCCCCCCTAGCCCCCCAGTAACTCAGACAATACATAAAATGCAGGCTCACAGCCCTCAGGCTACAGGTATGTCTAGACTGCATGCCTTTTTCAACAGAGGCTTTCTCAACAGATACTGTCGAAAAAGAGCATCTAGACTACAACCAGTACTGTCAACAAAGCAAACCACTTTTTCAAAAGAGAGTCTAGATGCTTTCTTTTGAAAAAGCACAGTTTGCATGCAGTAGTGCCTTTTTTCAACAGAGTACTATCGAAAAAAGGCGTTATTCCTCATAGAATGATATGTACCACTGTCGACTTACTGTTGACAGAACGTGGCGGCCATGTTTATGCTAATGAAATGCGGGATATTTAAATTCCTGCTTCATTAGCAATTTTGACGTGCATGATTTGCATCCCTCTGTCGACAGAGGGATGCAAATCATGCACGTCAAAATTGCTAATGAAGCAGGGATTTAAATATCCTGTGCTTCATTAGCATAAACATGGCCACCGCTTTTTTTCTACATGGAGCTTTTTCAGAAAAAAAACGGCAGTCTAGACGTGAATCTGTCAAAAATAAACCCTTTTTTGACAGATCCTGTATTCCTCAAAAAACGAGGTTTACATGATCTGTCAAAAAAGGGTTTATTTTCAACAGATCCACATCTAGACTGCTGAGTTTTTTTCAAAAAAGATCCATGTCGAAAAAAAGCAGCGGCCATGTTTATGCTAATGAAATGCGGGATATTTAAATTCCTGCTTCATTAGCAATTTTGACGTGCTTGATTTGCATCCCTCTGTTGAAAAAGGGATGCAGTCTAGACGTAGCCTCACAGAAATAAGGTGAAATAACTTCTGCTGATTCTCCTGAGCTTCCCCACACAGATAAGAGACCTTATTTGACAAAATCCAGCCTTATTTGACAAAATTACTCAGAACTTGTGATTGTATCACTGAATGCTGCACTGGTTTACACTGACATCCAGAATTAAAAAAAAACAGCCCCAGAAAAACACAGAGCAAATGAAATATTCATGGATACAAACTAGGAATCTTTCACAGAAGTGCTTTTAAAAAGGGCAAAATATTCAATAGCTAATTTAGTGTTGTCTTTGTCACACTGTGCTGGTTACTGGCCAGAAAGGTTAGCATTTGGAATGGGAGGGGGGACATGCTCCCAAGTTTTAAGAGGTCTTTGCATAATCCTCAGCACTTAACCAGATCAATAGGAGTGCTCTCATTTGTTCTGGAAAAAGCGGTGAAGGTCAGCTTCTGTGTCATTTATTGCTGGCTGCCTTTGTTTACTACTATGTTAGTGACAACCTCTTTAGCTTAGTCCACTACCATGTGTGACAGTCTTTATGAAGAGATGATATTAGGGCTTCTTTCCAACTTTTGTCATAGGAACAAAATATAGAATTTGGATGCCTCAGACTCTGAATTGGGGAAATGTGTTGTATTACTTTGTATTATTCTACAGAGATATTTCCTGGATCTTCAATCTCTTGTTGGTAGTTTGGATCAATATATATATGTGTGCATGTGCATGCACACACACACATGCACATATGCAGACTGTTAACAAGGTTAAAGAAAAAGAATGAAAAAGTAATTAGCAAAATATATTGCCCATTAAAAATCTGAGGCTTCATTCTTCAATAAAGATATTAACACGAAAAGATGACCTTATTAAAAATCGGTATGTGCTTGTAATGCAGACACACTGCTCTTGCAGTTTTCCTCGGGTGCTGCTAGTTAAAAGCAGCTTTGTGCAGGAAATATATTACTGAAATAGAAAAACCAGGACATTACTGAAAGGCATTTCCAATCTGTGATCTTCCTTGTACTCATAAGTAACTTCAGAACAGAATAGACACATGCAGCCATCTATATTAAAATGCCACAATATAGTTAAAATTAGCTCCACAGATGAGGGCAGAAGCAAGCCATGTATGTCCTTACTACATTTTTTTTGGAGTGCTTGCAGGCTTGAACACACACACATATATTTTATCATAAAGCAATAGTGGAAACAAAATATAGCTGATACAAAAGACATATTTTGCTGAAAGGAGACCATAGTAGGCAGCCTTATCCAGTGGTTAGGTCAGCTGCTAGATTTAGGTTCTTTTACTTATTTTGGAGAAATCTTCTATGCAAGCCTGGGGAAGTCACTTTCTGTCTTTGTAATTCAATTTTCCTATTTGTGAAAGGGGAACTCCACTAATTCTTTGTCAAGCACTTTGCAACAATTGGTGGAAAGATGCTCTGCATCAATGATTACCATCAAATTATTTTGTGACAGGGCGGCCTTGCAAGCTTGCTGCTTGCTTAAGTGCCCCTTGCAAGCCTCCTGCTTGCTTAAGTGCCCCTGCAATCTTCCCATTTGTGGTGATCCCTAATGGAGGTTTCTCAGATGGGTTTGCCATGACTCAACCCTCCAGTCGAGTCACACCCCTCCCAGCATATATAGTCCACCCAGGGCCTAACCCAGTACCCCTCTGCTGGTATATCTGTAGCCCTTCCTGGGATCAGTCTTTATATAGTCCTGGCCTGCAATGGTAATGGACCTCTAGGACTTCTTCTCTGGAGACGCTGTCTTTCTCTAGCCCGCCTTAGGCTTGGTTCTTTCTGAGGACCAGAAACAAGTCAGGAGCTCCTTCTAGCTTCCCAGGTGCGTGCAACAACAGTTCTGTCCATGGTCCTGCTAGTGCTGCTGTTGCTCCTTCTGCCAGCCCAGAACACAGTTCTCACTCCTCCAATTCCAGGCACCACTGACCCTGATTAGCTGTTTCCTGCTGCATCTCTTATTGTCTGCGTCCACACAACCACTGTAGGCTGATTGGAGGAATTCTGTACTGCTCCTCTGTGGGTCAGAGTGTGGCAGCGTCCTGAGGCCTCCAGCAGGGGGCTTCAGGGCCGGCACCACCCCATCACAGGTTTCTTGAAATCTGAAAGCCCATTAGATAGAGTATCAAGTCTATGGACACCAGTCATTTTTTAAAGTCTGAACAATCCTGTTTGAATTGCAACAGAATAACAAGCTGCTGTAACATTAGTAGGAGGTTCTAGAATGATGACTGGAACTGCTTAATATGTGCTCAGCAACATTTGGAACAAAAGAAAGTTGTACCTGACCAGACAGGTAGGAATATTACAAGCAGAGCACATGCAGTGAATTTCATTTAGCAGAATCTGATAGTCAGTGAGGCTGGCATTTCCTACCTCTCGATAATCATTACCCAAGAAGCCAGGGATGATGACATCTTAAAACTAGAGATAGTCCCACACCAAATCTCTGCACCAGAAATACAAACAATTTTTAAATAGATGAATATATTGCTCTAGAAATGCTGGCAGGAGGTAGTACATGGCTTTCAGACAGCCATCCAGCTGGAACAAACACACCTGTAAAGAGAGGATAACATAGATAAAAAACAATTATACATGCAGTATTGCCAGTTCCAAGTGTTCAGAAATTTTGATGCATGCCTTCAAAATCATGTAATTAATCAAATGATTAATTGATTATTTTATAAAAATAATAAAATGTGGAGAGTTTTGATTTGCATTCTGAATTTTTTAGGCTTTAGGGCATACTTTGAGATTTGGGTCACAGTTTCAATCTTCTCTCCACAGTCTCAAGAGCTAGCTTTTTTTTAATTGAAAGCTAACATTCTCATGTATAAGAAGATTCCTGGGACCAGGGCTTTAAGAAAAATAATCAAAACACTCCAAAGACTGCTGAGCTAGAATGCGGTATATTGTTATGCTGGAATATTAATTTCTGCCTTCAACTGGTTATTTTAGCAGGGGAACTGGAACAATTTTTATAGTGGAGGTGCTAAGAGCCATCAAACCAAACTGTAAACTCTGTATATGATGGACACTAACTTCAAGCCTTCTGCAGCACCTCCCGTACTCTTAGTTCTAGCACCTATGTTTTTAAGTCAACAATGTGATGCTGTTACAAAAAAGGCGAATGTCATTCTGAGATGTATTAACAGGTGTATTTTATGCAATACACAAAAGATACTTACCCCCACTCTACACAGCAATGGTGAGGTCGCAGATCGAGTACTGTCTCTAGTTTGAGGTAGTACACTTTAAAAATGGCATCAACAATCTGGCAAGTCTAGAAGAGAGCCACAAAAATGATAAAAGATTTAGAAAAACTGACCTATGAGGATGGGTTGAAAAAACTAAGGATATGTAGTCTAATGAAGAGAAGACTGACTGGGGACATGCCAAAAGGATTCAAATATGTAATCAATTATTCTCTATGTGCACTGAGGACAGGACAAAAGATAATCAGCAAAGAATGCAGCAAGGGAGATTTAGGTTTGATTTAAGGAAATACTTTCTAACTATAAAGATAGTTAAGCACCAGAACAGATTACCTAGTGAAGTTGTGGAATGCCCTTCCCTGCAGATTTTTAAGAACTGCCTGTCACAAATGGTCTAGATATACTTGGTCTCAGCTCAGATTTTGGGAGGGGGATGAACTACACGATGTCTAGAGCTTCCTTCCAGCCCTACATTTCTATGATTCTGTAGAGAATTACAGAGCTAGTTGAAGCTGTTACTCTGCTAACTAGATACCAGGGTTCCATGTGACCCCCATGTCAAATTTTTTGGTTTTTCAAATTGTCACTAAAATCAATATATTTCTGCTCAATGGTGTCTAGGTCATTCCTGGACATTTTGGATTTGATTGAATGCAGTGTTCAAAAGTTATAACATTGTCACCCAACATCAAACACATATTGTTACTCAATTATATTAATAAGGCAGCAGGTTTAAAGCAAACAAAAGGAAGCACTTCACACAACACACATTCAAACTGTGGAACTCCTTGCCAGAGGATATTTTGAACGCCAAAATTAGAATGTGGTGCAGAAAACAAAAAACAACAAAAAAAAACCCCTAAGTTCATGGAGAATAGCCTAAGTTCAGTGGCTATTAGAAGACAGGATACTGGACTAATTGGACTATTGGTCTGATCCCGTATGGGCAGCCTTCTATTCAGAGACATGCCATCAAATGGAGTGTAAGGGCCAGCTATAACAGTTAATACTGTACAGCTTCTGATTAGACAAGGTCTTAGTACAAAAATAGTTTAAAAATTCAAGGATTGCTATGTAACCTGGGAGGATTTAAAAAAATCTTTTCTCCTATTTTTGACAGGCATGAGTAAATATTACTGCCAACTCATCAGAATGTGGATTAATAAAGGAAACACATTTTAATGGCAGTTTTGAATTAAAATGCTGTTGATCATTAAAAGTTTTTAGAATATGAATGCCTACTGGTACTCTAATATTTTGGAAGTCTATAGCAGATTTCAAAACACTTCATGACCATTAATGAACTAACCATCATGAATCCTCAGGGCATGTCTACACTGGGGAGTTAATATGAAATAACTCCCCTTATTTCAAAATAACAAGGCAAGCGTCCACACCACTTGGCCTGTTATTTCAAAATAATGGATTTGTTATTTCAAAATAATAACTCCTACTTGTGAAGAGGAATAAGCTTATTTCAAAATAGTTATTTCAGGAGTTACTATTTCATAATAAGTTATTTCAAAATAATTTCCTAGTGTACACCACATGACCTAAAATACCTCCCACATATGTTCATTGTTAAATGATATACAAATGTTAGTTGGCTATAATAACTTGGATCGGGTTTCTTATAAATGCAAGAGTTATAATAATTTCAAAAGAGTTTTCGTAACTTGAGAAATAAAAGGGGAAGGTGGCAGGGCATAGAGATAATCATCATGGCTGCGTCTAGATTGGCATGATTTTCCGGAAATGCTTTTAACGGAAATGTTTTCCATTAAAAGCATTTTCGGAACAGAGTGTCTAAATTGGCATGGATGCTTTTCCATAAAACCACTTTTTGCAGAAAAGCGTCCGTGCCAATCTAGACGCGCTTTTCCGCCAAAAAGCCCCGATCACCATTTTCGCGATCGGGGCTTTTTTGCGGAAAACAAATCTGAACTGTCTACACTGGTCCTTTTGCACAAAAGCTTTGCACAAAAGGGACTTTTGCCTGAACGGGAGCAGAATAGTATTTCCGCAAGAAGCACTGATTTCTTACAGTAAGAAGTCAGTGCTTTTGCGGAAATTCAAGCGGCCAGTGCAGACAGCTGGCAAGTTTTTCCAGAAAAGCGGCTGATTTTCTGGAAAAACTGGCCAGTCTAGACACAGCCCATGAGCCTGACTTCTGAGATTTTTCTTATGTAACAAAGGGAGCTCTGTTTTCTTATTCATTGCTAGTTTGTTGCAGTCATGTAAATTCCTTATGCTTGGCCATAAGCTTCTTCTATTTATTTATATAAGTACAGTTGGCTCAAATCATAGATCTGTTGGTACAAGATTAACTATTAACTAGTACACTTATTGACACAGGGAAACTGTGAGGAAGGTTTCCCGAAAACAAGTCTATACAGGGAAAGTCACCACATGTTGCAAGAGCTAGATTATGCTCTATTTGAACTTGGGTGAAAAGGAGCATCAACAAAGTCATTCCCTCCACTCCCACCCTCAAATCTCAGAACTGGACCTGGAATCTCCAAATACAACTTTTTTGACCTCATCTCTACTTCCCCTTACTTTTCAGCCAGAGTCATTGGCTAGGCATGAGAGGGAAAGTATGATCCTTTCAGAAATCTTATTTCCAATAGTAAACATGACTAGGTTATAATTTTTGAAGGGTTGTGAAGCAGTTGCAGGGCTGAGCCTAAAAGTTCAATTTAACTCTAAGAAACATGATGCATAATAATTTTAAAATGTCCTTGTTTTAGCTTGAGAGTCTCAGAATTGACTTGAGCAATATTATGAAAAGAGTGTTAGTATAATTGTACAAGACTAAATATCATTCTGGTGCATTGCCAGAGAGCCTTAGAACATTGTGTGCTGAGCTTGTGTTTGTGAGTGAGGGTTGGTGTGTGTTCTTTTTTGTTTTTTGTTTATTTATTTATTTATTTTCCCCTGTGTTTGAGAGTGAGGCTTTTTTTCCCCCACCTCCCCTCTGCCCTCCCCCTCCCCTTGATGGAGTTTGTGCTGTGATTGGCAGGTGGAAACTGTTGGCTTCTAATTAAAGTTTGAATTCTAGAAGCCTCTGTTGATTCGCTGAGCCTTGGTAGGGGGAGGGGCTTTATAAGGCAGTGGGCAAGTGACCAAGGAGCTTGTGAACAGGTGATTGCTAACTGGGAGTTTTGAGAGGGAGTTCGGAAGCGGGAAGGGCGGGAGGTTCTCTTGCCTTTCTTTTTAAATCCCTTTTCCAGGACTGCAGCGATGGTTGGTGATGTGTCTGATGTTGTTACCTGCACAGCGTGTGCCATGTTTGTCTTCCTCCCGGAAGAAAGAACGGATTTCATCTGCACCAAGTGCAAGCTGGTCGAGAAGGGGAAAAAGGCCAGCATGGGAATCCCCCGATGCTATAGAGGTAAGCATTCGCTTTCAAGCTCTCTCCACAGGCTCTGCAGTGCTGAAAGCTCTGGAAGGGACCTCACAATGAAGAAACCAGAAGGGAACACCATCTACTGGAAGGTATGGGATGCGTAGTCCTACGGATGGGGGTTCCACGGCCAC